TATATAATTGTATATAAAATATGTCCATTTATATACAATTACACAAAATTATAATTTTATATAATTTTTTATAATTATATGTAAAATATTTTTTCCGAGTTCCTATTTCACATTTAAAATACACATATTATAAAAATAAAATGAAGAAGGAAAAAATCTAAATAAAACTGATTTAGGAAATTATAAACATGTAAAACAATATTATTATAATAGTAATATTATTAATGATGTAGCTACTATTATTTAACATGTTGAATACTATGGGGCACCGATGACCAGCGATGTCAAGATTAATATTATAGACACGTAATTCGAATAAATGTCAATATTTCTAAATCTTTCAATATTATAATACTATCGTTATTATAATCGTGTGAAAAAATTAACGCAGTATAGAACATATAAAAATAGTTGGCAAATCATGTAATATCAGTAGCATTCAACGTGCTAAAGCATGCAATTTGTAAAAGAAAACCGTAAGATTTAATTTTCGCATTTGTAGAATTCATTTTTAACTGATTTTGTACAAAAACAAGTCATCAAATATGAAAAGTATAAGTTTTTATTTCTTTAATTATCTAATCATCTCAAATAGCACAGCAGCACTTGTAAAGCAATAAAAAAGCGATTATATGCGCTTTATTAATATTTTGTAAGCGCTGTGTGCTACTTGGAATGTTTTTATCAGTATTAATAAAATGCAATATATAATTAGTTTTCTATGAAATAAAGGTGTATTTTTAGGAAATCTATGTCAGTATCGGCGATTTTTCTTTTATTACTTTGTAAAGAACCTCTTAATAGTTCTTGGAAATGGAAATAGGATCCCGGTCAAAATGGCTGAAATTTTGACATGGTCTAGATTTTGGCTCACTGATCAAAAGTCTCAATGGTTACCAGATCGAATAATCAATAGTTTTGAAGTTATTGCGACTCAAACAAAAAATATAAAATTTACCTTCACCATCAGGTGAATATGATGTGATGTTAGCAGGACTAGGTAAAAGGCCTTTTAAATTCGATTTAAAATACTAATTGTAAAATATAATAATTTAAAAAAGTATTTAAAATGCAAAATGCAAAGAAGGTTTTTCGAATCCATTTTAAATGTAAAATAGATAAAAAAGTATTTTAAATGGTTTTCGAATGCAAAATGATTTTTTTTTGCCCTAGCAGAAAAAAAATTTTTACGAAAAAGTACAGAAAAATTATATAGATTGAGACAAGGTTTTATAAATTCTTAATTTTTTGTTGATATTCATAGTGGGAATACAGAGTGAGAAAGAACTTTGTCTCAGAAATAGTTTTTCTCAAATTTTCTCTAGAATTGGCGTATTTTTATTAATCTTAATAAAAAATGAATAATAAAGCTGGAACATTCATTTTTTATTAGATTCGACCATCTGGAATTAATTTTCTCTTTACAGTTGATTTGCAGTTTATATAAATATTCATAAAAATCTTTGATCAATTATGGGACTTGATTCTTTTTATGCGCCAATGATTCTAGGGAAAATTTTTGAAAACAGAAAAATCAATTATCTATTTTCTAAATGGTTAAATAATAGACATGATTCTATTTCAAATGTAAAATAAAAATGGTTTTCCAAAACCATTTAAAAAATGCAAAATGCAAAATGCAATTTCCATTTCAAATACATATTTAAGTCAGAATTATTTTAAACATTACTCAGCCCTGGTTAAAAATAATTATTAGGGCCCGGATTTTGGTGTGTTTATCATCGGCCAAATTGTCCTCTCGCCTTCATGTATGTGTGTATATTCATGTGTGAATGTGTAAGTGCGTGTACATAAAAATATAAGTAAATGAATGAAGATTTTTAAGAGGATAAAACACATTAAATTAAATCTCACGTGCCTAACAGTACGTCATACCGCCTGACGATGGAGATTAAATTTTGAATGTTTCAGTTACCATAACTTCAAAACTATTGATTATTCAGTCTGATGACCATTGAGATTTTTGATCAGTCAAAATCTAAATCATATCAAAATTTCAGCTAATCTAACCGAGACTCCATTTCACAAGAACTGTTGCGGAGTCTTTTGATGAAGAAGTAATATTAAAAATTAAAATAAAATTTTATACATATACTAATCAAACAAAATGTAGTGCAAAAGTTTATTTGTATCCACTTATTCGTTTAAAAATTATTGACTTAAAACTGCAGAAAAATATGTTCATTTTAATTTTTAAACTATAAAATCATTATAAGTCAAATTAATGTTGTTTCGTTTTTTGCAATTAGTTTCAGTTCGTATTCATTGAATCAGCTGATATCATCAACACTTTTTCGATGATATTGGCTAATATTATCTTAGTTTGTCTCATTGATACTTTCTGATATTGCAAAATAACCAAAATTTTCTTAATAAATATCATTATTTTTCGTATCCGTACATAAGTGTACAAAAATATGACGGATGCTTATTTTTTTACGTTTTCTCCACTGTAAAAGAAAATCGAACTTTATCATAGACTATGACGTCTGTTACAGAATCTGTTATTCTATTACGAGAATGAGGCTTGCTCACGACCCAGTGGTGTCATTCTGCTGGAAGGCTGTTATTGCGATCGACTCATCACCGCCAAAGGCAAAGAGCCAGATAAACAGGTACGCAATGTGTTGCAAGCATGAGTTTTCGGCTAAATATGATCGCACTCGAAGAAAGAATTTTAGCGATCTAAACATTCGTCGTTTTATTTCCATTTTTACTTTAATGTAGTTGTAGCACGTTTCTGCTCTATTTTAATATTATGGATATGTAGATAGGAATTGCCTACGAGTTATCGAAGTTGCCGAAGTCTATAAAGCGCACCGCGCTATCTTCGAGCTTTTTCTGAAAACGTAAAGTTTCATCAAAATTTTTTGATATTCTTCAAAAACATGAATAAAAGTCATTCCAATAATACAATTTATGTCATAGAAGAATAAATTTCACGATATACTAATTAATTTTTTCTTCTCTTTTCTTTTCAAACTATAAGATTATTACACTCGAAGAAAAATATAGTAGTGATAATTATAAAGATGACAATTATATCAGTTTTATATGTAGTTTTATATGTTAGTTAATTCAATTAGTATAATTGAATTAAAACGTATATAATATAATATTATTTGATAAATTATTTGATAGTTATAAAAATTATAAATATTTATTCGTATATATATATATATATAAATTTTACATAAAATTTATATAATTGTCACTTCTATAATTGCCATCACTATGTCTTTTTCTCTGAGTATACAAAAATTGATGGGAGACGACGCATAAATACAATTCTCCAATTTCTTTCGGGTGGTGTATTCAAATATGTAATGGATAATTCAAAAGCGTTTATTGTATGTTAATATATTTAATGTCAAAGGCTAATGTATCGTTTGTACGCACGTATCTTAATTTAAAAACACGCCGCTTTTAACCTACAAATGGGGACTGCGTTTCGTTTTTGAAGGTATTTAATTCGCGTAGCATTATCGGCATTTTAAAAATCTATGTAGGATCTATAATTTTCGTAATACGCGCATCTACTTTTTAGCAATGTGAAAATTTTCGAAACAAACTACAATTTATAAAATAAATCTTTCGAAATATCGTGACCTGAAGCAGAATCCTCTCTTTTATAAAATAATCTCGCAATTAACGCCAAATGGTTCGTTTGATTCGAGTTATTTGTTTTATCTATTATTAAACTCGTTTAATATTGAGCGTACATTCAAAATCAGATGCATTTACTGTCAAATAAACAGGGTAACTCTTTGTTTAGAAATGTAGCAGCAAAACATTTCTATTATTTGAACTTTTGATATTACAAATTCTAGACTATTGCGATCAATGATATATTACGTGTCGGACTTTTACGGAAAGAGCATTTCCACCAAAGAGAGCATTTCTGTTAAACGAATGAATTTGAAATATGCCGAGCAATTAAAAGGTTCATTAACGACATGTGGTCGCGTGAGATAATAGGGAGCGTATCGATTTCTGCAAAGGTCACGTGATGCTGGCTGGCTTTCCCGCTTTTTCTAAAGATATATCGGCCGTTCAGTTATTTTCTTTTAGTCTCCTAGACAAGGAGGAAACTGTTATTTTTTTCCCCTTATTTCCACTTTCGTTGCGGCCGATAAATCGATCGCACGCGCCTGCTGTGAAAAATAATGCGTAACTCCAATGGCCGTTCTAACAGCCCCTTTATTTAGCAATTATCATCGGGCAATGCTGCTCAGCATACTCAATGTATCGCTATCATTCATAGAATTTATACTTTGTTCGATTTCTAGTTTGATTTGCAACAATCTCATTTTTAATTATTTAATTCGAGGTTAAAGAATAAAAAATGTTTAAATACATTTGAAATATTTTTTAGTAATAAAAAATAATAAATATTAAAGAAAATAATATCTATTATAAGTAAATAGAGAACAAATATTTCCCATTTCTAAAAACGTTTAAATCATAATCGGAATTATGAGATCGAATATATGTTAACATTACCGTATCTGACTATAATAAACAAATAAAATATTTTGATATAATATTTAAGAAAATATTTTTAATAATTAAGTAAAAAAAAAACATGTACTTGATCAACTAAATTCAGTGGTGCAGTCTTAAAAATAAAAGTTCCCTGGCGGTGCTTCGAATACAGGGTTATCAAGTTTTCGAAACACCAATCTGCAATATATGGAACGAAGTAAAAGAAAAGGAAATGCATCATTTCATAAGATTGATGTTATATTTTTCCTTTATCACAGCTGATCAATACGGATTTGAATCGTAAAATAAGACGGAATTGGGAGGGGGGGGGGGGAAGGAGAAGGGGATTTCGTATTAGTGCTCAACATTTTATTATATTGAACATATTTGTCTTTTTTTGTAGCGTGATACATATTTTATTCCAACGTATTCTATTGTATATGAACATTTATAATATAAATTATCTTATGTCTAATTAAAAAAAACCTATAGTTCTTCCGTAAGCAATCGATCCTTTCAGATAAACTCTATGTAGGTATATTACATATTTATATGATTGGATGCTTTGATTAGCTACGCTATCGTCTTGTTGTTATGTTAAAATTCAGATTTCAGTAAATATTTAAATGTTTCTTTTCTTCTTATCGTTTTATTATATACATAAAAAAAATTAGTTTTAAACAATTAAAGAAAGTACCTTGGCGCCGCGCCGCCAGGCTTCCAAAAAGTATCCTGGCGTCGCCAGGGTACTTTTAAAAAAAACCTTACGTCGCTAATCAGGGCTCGACTACATCTATGACTAATTATTTTATTGAAATACCTTAGAATTTAGCTTTCAATTATTTAACTTAATGTTTAGAGTTAATTAAATTGATTAAAATAGTAATTTTTATTCATTTCTGTGCGTGACTTGTATAGTCAAAATAGTTTATATCTGTGCGAGAGGAAGAATAGAATCGGTTTTGACGACACGTTTGCGTCCTGTTGCATCCGTAACAAGAACGATGACAACGTTTCTCTTGTGCCTGATTGTGAGTATGCTCGTATATTCCGTTTTACAACTCCATTGTCTATCCAATGGCATCGTGAGCCTCCTATGAGAGATGCTCGCAGCGATGCAAGATGCTCGCGAGTCTAGTTACACGTTCCTTTTCCGCAATACCCTTCTCCATGCTTCATCTTTTTGCAGCAGTGAAAAACGATCTAAATAGCAAAATGTTATCAATATAACGTGTGTTGTTCAATGTCTGTTGAGTCAATAATATTATTAAAATAATGCCACACACATGTCAAAAACGAAGTCCTGTGTACAGAGCAATGATGTGATAAATATTTAAATGATGATAAAATTATATGGCATAACTGTATGTATGTGACGGAAATATACATAATCTTACAATACGTAATGTAAGCTAAGATACAATTTATTTTTCCGAAATAAATATCTAAATAATTATGTTAAATAACAAAATAATTATTTTTTTTAATTATTTTTTTTAATAATTGCATGTAAATAAATATATATAATATTAATTATTGTTTATTCATTAAATATGACTTAAAAACGATGATTAAGTGACGATATTTTATGTCATTATTTAGTTCACTGACGTTAAATGATGAAAAAAAATCTTAAATTGTTATAATATAACAACATCTTACTTGAGACGTTTATAAGCTAAGCAAACGTAAATTAATTAAGAGTGACGGACGCGAATTTTATGAGTAAAATTCGCGCGTCGCGAAGTATTGCAACGAGAGGATGAGATTATCCGATACTTCGATTCATGTATTTCTTCTTCGCGATATTCCCGTCTGAGGGCTTGTGTCTTAGGGATGCGTTTCATTTATCTTCTAGAGGGAATGCGCCACGAATTTCTGAAGGTACAGGCCAGACAAAGCATGCATTTGTTATACAAGTGTACAATTATAACCGGGTACAATTGCATGGCTTTCACGTGGGATGTTCATTTATTGAAGCATGATATTGACACGAGTGTCGACTATTCTGTAGGCATCTGCTCCAAGTTAGCGCACTTTACGGTATAGGTAGTTGTCAATTCAATAATTAAAGACTATGAGATAACATTTCATTTTTTTTCATATGAACATGTATGCGGAAAAATAATTTCAATATTTGTTTATATGAATTTTATTCTGCGCACGAGTAACTGTCTACCGATGCATGAACCGCACGGATGGAAAAGCTATATGTATATATATATATATA